CCCTTGTGCACAAGTGCGCTCGGGTATAATAAATACAAGCGGCAACTCTATTGTTAAACTATTATAAAACTTTTTTAATTTTTTTTAATTTTTAATTCATATTTTTAAAAATGCGTGTCGACTATATGTGGATTCACATTTTTCTACGCTTAAGATCAGACATGTGGCAACTCTGGTTTCACTAAATGATAAGTAGTCGCTTTTCGAAAAATATTCAAAGAAAGTATAAATCATTAAAAACATATTTAATGTCGATTTCTAATCTACAAGTGTAATCACTTACTATTTAATATTCATAATGAAAATAAACATTTATTATGCAATTCTTCTCACAAAAATAAAACAATAATCGAATGCAAACACCTCCGCACAAAGCACGCCCATTGTTCATGCCCTCAGCATAGCCGCATGCAGTGGAATCTCATCAGAACGCATCCTCCCGCCGCAATCGTCGCCCTCCCAGCGGACGCGCGAATGCGGCATAGCATAGCGCAGCTTCTCCCAAAACCACGGCTCGCCCCACTTCAAGTACGTATTCATTTTCAGATACGCACGCAGCTCTTGATCCAGCAACTCCGCGTTCTCCAAGTCGCCATAGATCACCAGTATGATGCGCGTACGTCCCTCATTCAAGGCGCACTGATGCGCCATGCGGAATTCCATGCGCGCCCAGTCGGAGTGTATGAAATGTTGTGACAAGACAATAATTGTGCGGCGCGATTGTTCCACTGAATCAATGATCTGCTCAGATATAAAGGCGCCTGCGAGCCAGTCACGCACGTGTATGCACACCTTGAATGACGGCGTACCATGCTCGAGGCCAGGCAGCAACTCGTGCTCGACAAAGTGCTCATCCTGATGCGCGTAAGAGATGAAGGCGTCATATTTACGATCACGATCCAGTTCAGTCTCGCTGATGCAACACAAGCACAGCCGATGCGCGTAAAGCCAGATTTGCAGCTGCAGCTTGTATTTGTAGTAGCAAAGCGCGGTGCTGACGGCCAGCAGGATGAGGGCCGAAAGCACAGTGAAGGCTAAAACAAATGTCAAGCTCACGCCTAGATCGGGTAGGCAGAAGTCGCGGTAGGTTAGTTCAACGAGCGGCGGCATCTGCGGATCGTCGCAACGCACTTCAAGCATGTCGCGGTAACGCAAGCGATTGTGCTTTACGAAGCCATGCAGCAAATCGGCGCTGCAGTCACACGTCCATGGATTATGCGAGAGATACAAGTCTTTCAGCGACGTGCTGTCGTTCAGCGTGCGGATTAGCTGCGCGGGCAAGCGCGCTATGCTATTGTATCGTACATCAAGCAAACGCAGGCGGCTGGTGGTGTGGTTGGGCGCGCTCAGCTGTGCGCATAAGGTATGTAGCGAGTTGTTCTGCAGTTGAAGCGTGTTGAGGCTGCGCAGACCCGCGAGCACATCACACGCCTCTGCGCTTGTCCAATTTAGCTGATTGTTATAGAGCATAAGTATCTCCAGCCGCTGCGCTTGCGCCAGACTGCCGGGGGCGATTGCGCGCAAGCCATTGTTATCCAAATTAAGTTCTACCAGCGCGTGTAGTGTAGGTAGTGTATGCGCGCTGAGCTGCAGCAAACGATTGTGTGACAAAGTCAAGCTCACTAGCATTGTGGACGGGTGAAATAAGCCAGGTGGCAGCGATTCGAGCTCATTGCGACTCAGGTCCAACACCTGTAGGCGTTTTTGTGCCACGAAAAGCGCAGTAGGAAGCTCCCGCACTTGGTTTGAGGTTAGGCGCAGCCGCTTTAGCGCTGGCAGTGGCTCAAAAATCCGCGCTGGCAGCTTGGAAATACTGCAGCTATGTAGCGTAAGAATCTCGAGAAGGCCAAGCCCCTCAAAATCATCTTTGCGTAAGCGATCCGTCAGCTGATGACGCATCATGGTGAGCGAGTTGAGAGACGCGAGTGGTGCTAGCGCTGGGCGTGGAAATTCCAGCAGTCCGCCATATATCATCAAGTCAATTAAATTGGCACCCAGTGGGCGAAAAATGCCCGGCGGCAAATGCGTGAAGTTCAAGTCGAGTTTCAGACTCCAAAGTGACGTAAAAGCAGTAAACAAATCAGCGTCTAACTGCTGGGCTGCGTCCAATGTGCGCTGTTGTGGCTGCGCCAGCAACTCCAAATCACTTATCGTCTGCAAAAAGCTAAGGTTATATCCGAAATGTCGTGCGGTTAGTAAAGGCAACATTCCAAGACCATGTACATGCAAAATGCTGACGTGCGTCAACTGCATGTGTGCCAACAACTCGGTGAAGCGCACACAGTGGTGAACGCCAAGAAAGAGTGACTTACGCATCCCTCCAAGCAGCGGTACGCGCGCCAGCAGCTCTGCGGATACAGTCGGGTACGTATCCACTGCTGGTGTGCAAAATATCTCCACATCGGTCTTCTCGTAAATTGAAATTTGTATGTGCGTGCCACCGTCCGCGCTGCTGCAGCCTATAGAAGCTGAATCATATTTGCTGCTGTAAGTGCAGTTGCAGGTGCTATTCGCAGCAATCTCGGCGCAAACGTCGCTGGTGAAATCCCGTTCGTTGTTATCAGCAGCCTGGCAAGGCAGCCAGTGGCATGTGAGCAGCAATAATAACTCCGCGAGAACAATTACAGCTTCTTGCAGAGTAGCGGCGTTTAGTGGTTGGCGCATTTTTGCGCCTCTAGTATGCTCGTTCAAAGCGCGCGAGTCGCTGGCGATAGACTGAATGTGAACTTTTTGCATGCATCGTTGAAATCGCAAACTTGCGTGCACAAGCATTTTATATGTTAATGAAAGCATTCAATTGATATAAAGTTTAACACGAGTAATTGTAGGTGTTGACGTCGCGAGTGGAGCGTGTCTTACTCGTGTATATGCAAATTAAATATGAAAAATTCTCTGTAATTACTAGTTGTCAGTGCAGCGTTATCGCGCATCTTATTTCCAATGACATTTTACGCCTCTCACTGAGTTGCCGTCACAGCGCGGCACAACTTAATTACGCGCGCTTCATCAACGTTTGCAAGGGAATGTTATCAACGCGCCGACTTACGCGCTTCTCGCTTTCCCACCCACGGCGTGAATGTGGCATAGCATAGCGCAGCTTTTCCCAAAACCACGGCTCGCCCCACTTCAGATAGGTGTTCATCTTCAAATATGCGCGCAGCTCCTGATCCAGCAGGTCTGTGTTCGTCAATTCGCCATATATCACCAGTATGATGCGCGTGCGTCCCTCATTGAGCCCGCGCTGATGCGCCATACGGAATTCCATGAGCGCCCACTCGGATTGTATGAAATGCTGCGATAGAACGATGATAGTACGGCGCGATTGCTCCACAGAGTCGATAATTTATTCAGATATGAACGCGCCCACCACCCAGTCGCGCACGTGTATGCACACCTTGAATGGTGGTGTGCCCTGTTCCAGCCCAGGCAAAAGCTCATGCTAGACGAAGTGCTCATCTTGGTGAGTGTAAGAGATGAAAGCGTCGCACCGGCGATCGGGAACCAATTCAGCCTCGCAGATGCAACGCAGACACGCGCCGTGCGCGTACAACCAAATTTTCAGCTGCAGTTTATACTTATAGTAGCAGAGTGCGATGGAGATTACCAGCAGGCTAAGCGCCGACACGCTGATTAAAGTAAAAACCAGCGTCGAATCAGGAAAGCAGAAGTCGCGGTAAGCGAGTTCGACCAGCGGCACTTGCTTTGGCTCATTGCACTTCACATATATCACTTCGGGAAAGCGCACACGATTGCTACGCACAAACGCGTGCAGCGCCTGGGCCTCACAGTCGCAAGCCCAAGGATTCTGCTCCAGTTTTATGGAGCGCAGCGTTTCACTCCTATTTAGCGCGTGCAAGAGTTGCGCGCTTAGATGAGTAAATTTATTTTGCCGCACATCAAGCAAGCATAAGGCATTCGCGAGGGTGTAGTTAGACACGCCTAGTTGTTTGCATAGGTAGCGCAGCGAATTGTTTTGCAAACCAAGCATTTCTAAGCGACGTACTCCCTCGAGTACAACACATGATTCAGCGCGCGTCCAGTCAAGTTTGTTGTGACTTAGTACCAAATCACGCAGGTGGCGCGCATACGTAAATGTGCCTACTTCAATGACGCGCAACTCATTCAAATCCACAT